TTGGGTAGTGGGAAGAACAGAGACCCTGGGGCCTGCGAGGGCTGGGACTGAATTCAGCCACTGCCACCTGCAGTGTGACGTCAGGTAGGTTACCCGCCCCTGCTCTTGCACTCTCCGTGTCCTCATCTGTACACCTATACGTGAGCAGCAATTTGTTTGCTCTGTGTCAGCGCCTAGCCTGTAGGGCTCAACTGGCCCGGCACAGGGTTCCAGCCACACAAGTCTATTTGCCACCTCTGACCAAGGCAAAGGAGGCCATTAATTTTTGGTGAAAAGGAAAAAAGACTTTATTCAAAGCAAGCTCCAAGGAGATGGGGCAGGGGGAGGTTTATTTGCCTCAAATCACCTCTTCAATGTGTCCAAGGATGCAAGGGTGTTTTGCGGTGAGGAACAGAGGGGAGAGGGAATATGATGAGCCCGTGGACATCTCCAGGCTTGCTTCATCTCTCCTGGATCCGGAATCCTGCAGCCGCATCTGCATATTCTTTCTGTCTAGGCTGACAGGAGGGGGCGGTAGCTATGTGCTCAGCATGAGAGAGTTTGGAGAAGCTGCACTCCCGGTGTGGGCATCTGCATATTCTGTCCATTCATCTGGATCAAGGAGAAGAAGGTGGTATTGATATCCTAGGGCTGAGGACATTTGGAGATGTCACCTGTCCCTGAAGGAAAAAAATTCAACTTTCAGAGTTCCATTTTGCCATTTGCCAATTACAGGAGAAGGTGAGTCAGATGCTTGACTTGGGTACAGAATTTTAAGAAGTACCAGAAAGCTCAGGAACTAACATAATTAATATTCTAAAATATGTTCAAAATGAAAACTAAAGCCAAAAGCTGATGGCAAACAAAATACCACAATCCTAAACAAAGACACAATTTGTGCAATGAATAGTGAACATTAGCAGCCTTTTGTGAGATGTTTCCAGGAGGTTGGGGAGGAAGGCAGAACCCCTGATGGACAGCGCCAGCCCAAGGTCAAGTGGACCATACTGCTTTGTCCTGTCTAGGGCAGTGGGTAGCTGTGTAGGCAGGGAGGTCCAACAGACCCAGGTCTGAGTCCTCTCCTCTTTTCTCTGCTTACCGTCTCTGTGGCCACTCTAGGCCTCAGTTTCCTTATGCGTAACTTAGGCATGATAATACCACCACAAGCTCCACCAAAGGGCTGTCTCAGTGCCCGACGCCTGGCCACACACAGCAGTCAGTCATAGCAGCTGTCATTATGGCACCACTTAACAGGCATCAGAATCAACATGAAAGATTCCCTGGGCCGGGCTGAGGACAAAACAGGCTGGCATTTTGTGGCTGTCCGCTCGCTGCCTTTGAGAGTCCTCCCCATAAGCTGCATCTGCTCAGCTCTCTTGTTAATCAAATACACAGCTGGCTTGGGAGCCGCTGGCCTGGAGCTGTCTTTACTGCTGTGTCTGCTGCCATCTGGACCGGGGAGGAAGCACAGAGAAGGGGTCAGTGCCGAGGTGGGAACAGCTGGGCCAGAGGCCTGCAGAGTCAAGGCTGCAATCTGTTGCTGCACAGGCATTTGAGCTGTGTGGTTCAGGCAAGGAATGAAATAGCATCCCCCAGGATACAGGCAGACACTAGGTGCCTTCTCCTTGGCACGCTGGCAGCGAGGGGCTTTGGCTGGTTTTGACCAGTGATCGGCTCTGATGGCCCAAGTGTCCAGTTTAAGGAGAGAGGAGGGTGCAAGTGACCCTAGCAGGACAAAGGAAAGCATTTTCCAAAGCAAGTGTGTGCATTTTCCAAGGCAAGTGTGTGCATTTTCCAAAGCATTTCCAAAGCAAGCAAACTTTCTTTTCTTTTGACGCCTCTGACAACAGATGCAAGAAAAGGACTTTGAGCAGGAGTTATTAGTCAGTAACCATGTTAACTTGCTCATTTAGCAAACTCCAGCCTCCACTAAGAGCCAGGAGCACTGACGGGTGGGGTAGGGAAGCTGTGTAATAGCAGAGCGCAGGGGTCTCAGAATCCCCTGGAGGGGTTATGTATGGGGGCTGGGACCCGGGAATGTGCCCTTCTAACGCATTCCTGGGCAGTGCCGATGGCTGTGAGGACCTCTGAGAGAGGACCTGGGCTCTGGGCTTGGGCTGTCACATTGGAGGTGAGGTTAACTGGGCTCCTTGTTGGCTGTGGGACCTATGGCAACTTAATGTCTCCACGGATCAGCATCTACATGTGTAAGATAAGGATGATAATAGTAAGACCTACTGTGGGTTTCGGGTGAGAGTGAAACAAGTCAGGGATCCAAAGCATGGAGAGCAGGGTCTGTGTTTGAGATGGAGGCATTTGATAAGCATCAGCTATCATAATCCACAATATTCACACAGTTTACACTGAGAATGTACGTGCTTTCATAAATAAACCAGAATAAGAGTAGGCAAAGATCCCTATGTATTCATGTGCACACAGAATATTTACACGTAACGTCAAGGGGCTCTCAGGCCCCTAGAAATGCATCCTTCTTAATGCCTCTGGTTAAGCAACATAATAGCTACCATTTTACATTTCCTTTTTTTAAAATAAGAATTCCCAGTTTCAAAAAACCTCATGTATCTATGTAGTTAATGGAATTATATTTATATTTCTTTCTTTTTTACCAGTCATAACTTGCAAAACTGTACAATATCTAATAGCTATCATTTTTGAGCCTCTTTCTGGTTGCCTGAAGTGTGGCAGGTAATCCATATTGTAAATTACTTTGTAAGGTAGTCATCACCATCCGGAACTTAGCTCAGTGGTAGAGTGCATGCTTAGCATTCATAAGGCCCTGGGTTTAATTTGCAGCATGCGTACACACACACACACACACACACACACACACACACACACACTCACACACACATACACGTAGTCACTGTCATTGCTGTTTTACAGACAAAATCGCTGAGGCTCAGAAAACTTGCTGAGGAACACTTAGAATTGGGATTTGCACCCAAACCTGTCGGACTGTGTCACAATGTCACTCTTCACTTCTTTAGAGCAATTGCATCACCTGTATATCTAGAAGAACATAGTTAGCAATGGTTCTGTGATGGGAAACCTTTTAGAGCTTTCAGAGATAAGAATCAACTGGCTGCGGTATGCATGCCATAGGCTCACCACCACTGGGCTAGGTGATCAACCATGGACAGGAGAAATTAAAGGTTATTTTTAGATCAAAGAACTTATATTCAGCTGAGAGATCAAGATGGACATACAGAGGAAAGACTTTGAACAAAATACTATATTGTTACAGTCAAATTAATGGATGTGGAGGGAACACTACTATGCTTACCAGATACATACTCATTTGCTCTTCCAATTTCCCAGCTTCCCCTGCTGTTGTGTTAGGGTCATGTGACTGGCTTGGCCAAGAAACATGAATGGGCATGGTGTAAGTTACCTCTAAGCTTAGCCATTACAGACACATCACATGAGCACTCTTTTCTTTCCTTTGCCTTGCAGCAGTGATTTAGGAAGCCATGTGCTCTAGGAGATGCAGTTCAAGGTGGAGAAAGACTACTCATAGGGAATCAGGTTGAAGCAGAAGTGAGAAATGAACCTCTGTGAGGTACGGCCTGGGTATTTCCGGTTACAGTCTCATAATCTAACCTGTCCTGATAGCCACAAGAGAATTCCTAGTGAGTTTTGAGATGCTTGTGCTGAATCAGCGAAAGCTCGCTTTTAAACCTAATAAGTCAAAATATTTAGGGAAAGGCCCTAGCAGTTTTAAATTTTAATAAGACCATATTGAAGATTGGCCAAATTAGGAAGCCCAACAATGCCATCTGCTAGTTCTCCCAGAAAACTTCTGGTGGCAGAGACACTATCACATGATCATTCATAGGGCAAGCTTGGAGTTGAACTTCCCAGGCTAGAATTCTTTGTTTTCCACCTTCTACTTTCCACTTTCCACCAGTGTAACTTTGGATAATTAGAAAATCTATTTTGTAGACTTATTATGATGATTGAATGGGTTCATATACTATTTATTTATTTATGTATTGCTTCATAATAAACTACCTTGAAACTCAGTGGTGTAAAACCACAACAACCATTTACTATCTCCCATGGTTTTTACAGGTCAGGAATCCAACGGTTTCCCATGGAGCAATTCTGCTCAACTTCTCTCAGGAAGATGCTACCAGAACTGGGGCTGCAACACAGGCTGAGTCTAATGGGGCCAGGGAAGCCACTTCTAGGTTGTGTCCCTTGTGTGGCTGTGGCCAGAGCACCAGGTCCTTTTACACAGGCCACCCAGGATTGCTAAGCGTCCTCACCAGGTGGTGGCTTGCTTTCCCTGGATTGAATGATGGAGGAGAACAGAGACAAAGCTGCAGTGGATTCGTGCATGGCCACTTCAAGCATATGATCAGTCTTAGCCACACAGACCAGCCCTGACCCAGAGTGGAGGGGATCAAAGGTCAGAACTCCGGTGGTGTGGATCATTGGGGGTCATAGAGGTTTGACAGTGAGGGGATTTCAGTTAATATCTGAAATGCTACGTACACACTTCCCTCGAGATTAGATCTCCAAAAACATTAGCTATTTGTTTTACTAATAGAATGATCAGTAAGCTCTCACTTAGAACTCCACCTCCTCTACCATCCTAGCCTTCTTCACTCCTTCTCCAACAAACATCTGTGTCTAAACATCTGTGTCCCCTTTCTGGCGGGCAGTGCGCCGGGCACATCACTCCCGGAAGGAAGCGATCTCAGCTGGGCACTCCTGCATCCCCAGGACTGAACAATGCTAAGAGGTACAGAGCTGCTAGGAGTTCCCATTTCCCAGGGTACGTTCTTTCTCGCTTATCTTGCTCAAGACATAGAGGAAGGGATAAAAAATCACAAACTCTGGAATGAGATCACATGGGAGCAAGTTTGGTTCTCCTTAGCAGCTGTTGACCTAGGGTGAGTTACTTAATGTTTCTGTACCCCGGGTTTCTTATCTGTTACAAAAAAATTACCCCGGGGTCAAGCCTCAGTACTGCAAAAAAGCAAAACAAAAGGAAGTTTTAAGTGAGAATAATCTTTATTTCTCAGATGAGTGTGAACAAAATATTCCAAGAAATGAAAAAGCTCAGAACAGTATCTGGCCTGCAGAAATGCTCACAAATATTAGTCATTATCTCTCTTTCTCAAATTATCCAAGGACTTTCAAGATCTAGGACAAGACATAGAGACAAGGAAATAAGATACGGGACCAGCTCAAAGTCCTGCCCCCGACCCCTGGATGAGTCCAAAATAAAGCTGGCGTGAAAACAGTTTCCTGGGGCTTTCTCCAGACTTCTGGCTTGGCTGAGACGGCTGGCTGCCCAGGGAAAAGTCTGGCCAAGACTGTGTTGGCAGTGCTCTGAGCCACTGGGCCAGGCGCCCTCAGAACCATCTTCTCAGCTGACTTCTGAGACCAGGCCTTGGATAGCCCAGTCCCCGCCTCTGTGTCCTTTATTTCTGTCTCCGTTTTCTGCTACAGTGTGTTTGCTTCAGAGAAGCCAAGGTGGTTCCGGGTGGACCTTGCCTTCCTTTGATGGAGGAATGGCAGGGGAGGAGGGCTGGGCCCAGAGGTCTGTCCCAGTGCGCCGGCAGATGGAGTGAGGTGGGGCAGCAGGCAGGTAGAAGAAATCAAAGGGCTCAGCATCAAAGGAAAGAGGAGCCAATCAGCTCGGGGATTCTCCCCCTCTGAGATCAGATCTGCACTTTAATTTGCAAGTCTTAGCAAGTTTCAAACAACAGAAGGAAAGGGCTGTGGGTTCTCGCCCAAGGAAGGTGTTCGTTGAGCAGATGCGGAGAGGTGATGCAGATACAGCTCTTGTGGGGCTCTGAAGAGAAGGGAATTCAAGTTCTAGCAGGTGGAGCAATCACAGCCAAAATTACACGCAAGGTTCTCTTGCCTACTTTGAACTTGCCTTCTTGTGGGAGGAGACAGACAGCACCTAGAAATCAGGTCAGAAAGTGTGATAGAGAACAACAACAGCAACAAAATCACAGTGCATTGGATTGGGTGGTCCAGGAAGCCTTTGGGAAGGCTGTGTTTAGACAAAGCAGAGCCCTCCCCCTAAGCAGGTCTGGAGAAGTGTACTCCTGGGAGAGGAAAGACAGAGGCGCAGAAAAGAGTTTCACGTGGTAGAGGAGCAGCGGGGAGCCCAGCAAGGCTGGAGCAAATGAACAAAGGAGAAGGTGCCCACCCGAGCGGGACAGCGGCCTCTGAGACTGGGACAGAGAGCAGGTGTCCAGTGAGCCCTCTGGCAGCTTTTAAGCGTAGGACATCTAAGGGGTTTAAAGTGACACTTGGCTACTAGGTATAGAATGAGTTTCAGGGAAAACAGAAGTGGGGAAGGTTATAGCAGGACTTCAGGAGTCTTGGTGAAAGATGCTGTATACCGAACTGGTATAGTCGCTGGAACTCAAGGGAGTGGGCACTTTGAAGCCGTGCTGTGACTACAGAGGAGACAGCTTTGCCTTGTGTCTCCTAAGTGATGAGCACAAAGGACCCCCGCCAGACGATGCCACAAAGTAGGGCACAGCCAGGCCTGCAGTGTCCAGGAAAGAAAGCATTGGCAACCTGGGCTAGGATTTGAGAGCAGGAGAGCAGGAGAGCAGCTCCTGAGAGCAGGAGTTGAGACCAGCAGCTGCTGGCTTCTGGCTTTCCTTCAGAACAAGTGTTCCTGCTACACAAATTCACTGGTGCTTGGAAAATGAGACCTGCTGGGAGCTTTAGAAAAAGATGGTATGTCAGCTGAGGTCAGGACATGTATGTCACAGGGCCCAGGGTTCTAAGTCAGACTGGGTTTTGGGCCCTGGAGAGGGTTATCCTAGGGGCATCTGGTTCTGGTCTGCATGGATCTGCTCACCTGCAGGAAAGTCCAGAGGAAAAGGGTCCAGGATGAAGCCTGACAGAGGGACAGGTCACCCCTGGAGGCCCTTGCAATGAAAGCACCAACCCTTACAACCCCACCTCCAGAGCCAGGGAACTTCATGAGCACCCAGCCGGAATTTCCTGCTCTTCCCCTCCTGACCCGGCCCCCAGCCTTGAATCCTGTGCGTTTGTGAGGTCGCCTTTCATTTTAGCCTTTCCTGAGGTTCCTTCTTCGTTTCCCTCCTCTGCTTGTTTCTCTCCTGTGCTCCCAACTGCCCCTCGCAAGCTCACAGGTCCTCAGACTCCTCCCCATCCCCTTTGGCTTTTGATTGACCTCATCTCAGTGGGAGGCAGCCTGGAGCCCACTGACCACCGTACTTCTGGGAGACATTTTCCCATTGACATTGGTATTTTGCCTTTTTTCACACTGTAACTTTCTGTGGCTTCATTTGTCCAGAAACAAAACTGGTTTACTTGGGGCCAGACCCAGCTGCATGCCCTGCCTGGAGATGTCACTCAGCCAAGGTTGGGCTCTGCTTCCCGATCAGTGCTGAGACCAATGAATACGGGATGGGAGGAAGCAAGGACCCAGGGTGTATGCCTGCTGGGTGTTTGCTGTGATAACTTCTGCCCAGTGTTAAGTGGAGATGCTCTGTCCACTCAGGAGATTGATCTCAATGGCCTCATCAGAAGCACACAGAGCTCCTGAGTGTGTTTACTGTCTGATTGAAAAGCAGGGTGAATATATTTTTTAATATATTACCGTAAAAGACACATTGCTATTAATCCCCTACAACATCCTCGCCCCCCTGCTTTGAACACACTTACACTATCATCCTTCCACTTCCGGAAGCAGTTCTGGAAATCTTTTTTAATATCTTTATTTGTGGTGTTCTGGTTGCCAGATGTCCCGAGTTGAGTGAGAACATTTACCTTTCATGACCCTTTTGATTTGGGGGTGTAGCCAGATGTTGTGTGGTGCCAGATGCAGTGAATAAAACAGATGCGTTCACACTACAGTGTTTTAAAGGAGCCTGCCTTTCAGTTGGATGGCGCTCGGCAGCAACATTCACCTTAATTTTTATCATACCTCCTAAAGACACTCTTGAAAGGACTTCCAGGACTGCTTCAGAAAGTGCTAAGGATGATGGGATACGTGTGTTTGAAATGAGAGGGAGTTACTGAGAGGGTCCAATGGCAATGTCTTTTACTGTAATAACTTTTTAAACATTACATATTCATCACAATTTTTGAGCATCCCTTGTATTTCTGTCGCCAGTGGGAAGTACTCAGTGTCCTCGGTTTGCCCGAAGGCAGAGGCTGGAATGGCACGTGTGGACAGTGTCAGGCCAAGGCCTACCCCAGAGCTGCCCGCTGTGGCCAGGGAAGGCTTCTGGAGGCCGCTCACCTGGAGACTCAGATGAGCCTGCTTTAGTCCTGACAGCTCCTGGCGCTGGCCTCGGGAGGGGTGAAGCAAGGGACCTCAGCAGGCTCAGAGCCACCCTGCCCGGGAGCCAGAGAAAAGGAGCTGACTTTGCCAGATGCCCTCAGCAGTGGGGGACACAGCAGAGGCCAGGCCCACAGGACACGCGTGCCGGCAGCAGAAGGTTCAGTGAGGTCTCTCCGGGGGAGAAGAAGAGAGCGGGCAGAGACACCCCCATGCTGCCCAATGAGGCTGCGGTCCAGAAGGACCCTAGGGGCTTTCTTGTGTTGCCACTGCACCTTGGCAGTGACGGTAGAGCTGGGTCTCTGGACCCCAACACAGGGCTGTTGCTTGACTTGTCAGGGAGACCTACAATGATCTAATACCGTGATTAGCACTGGGGATAGAGTGTGAACTGGACCGTGCACGGCCCCTGTGCTTGGACTTGTTGATGGAGGGGACTTGTTCTCTCTAGCATCCTGAGCCACCTGGTCCCAGTCACCCCCAGGGATTCTGGCTTCTGCACATCCTTTCCCCGCCATCTGAGACAGCGAGAGCTGTTGCGTCTGTCTTGAAAATTCCCCCTTGGCTTCCTGGTTCAGAGTTTAACCCCATAATAGGTTTTTTAAAAACCCAGCTGTCACAGAATGGAAGCGCTGCAGTGATCCTAAAGAACATTTGCCCAATGTCTCTTTGCTTGCTCCCTGCCCAAGAGCACCCAGGCCTGTGTGAGCCTTTCCCCAACTCCCCACAGACCAGCAAGGAGGCTGGAAGGTAAGCACAGGGCAGGCTGTGAAGAGACAGTGGAGTTGGGCGGAGCTTAGACAGTGGCGGGCCACAGACTAATGAAAGGGGGGCAGAGGCAGGACGGATCCTCCACCCATTCATTGAGCATATCTGACAGCTACTTTTTTAGCATATCCACCTGGTCACTGTATCCTCGAGGGAGTATAGCGTTGGATGGATCAAGTTTCTCACCCACGTGGTATATTCATGGGGAGGCACACAATAAGCATTTTATTTTTTTATTTTATGGAAAACCCCCAAAATTTTATAACAAAATAATGAATAGGAGAATAACAATCAATTGCTCTCTTCAAAGTAGCTACTCAGAGTACAGGACATGGGCATAAAAAATTCTCCAAATGATGTCAGCACAAACCTTTCTTTTCAATGAACTCAGAGAAACTAGTAGTATAACTAACTTGTTTTTTTTTTTCCTTTTCTTTCTTTCCTTTCCCCTTGTCCCTACCCTGGTTCTTCTTTTCTTTATGAACAGTTTCTTCCCATTTCACAATATCTATTCTACATTTGGGACCTTATTTATTCTTTTGGTTTCTCACACCAGGGAGACAACGTGATGTTTATACACGTGAGTCAAAAATATGGAACACGTCACGAATTTGCGTGTCATCCTTGCACAGGAGTCACGTGAATCTTCTCTGCACCGTTCCAATTTTAGTATATCTACTGCCGAGGTGAGCACACAGTGAGTATTGTCAATAAATAAGTATAACTGCAAATTCATCAAGCTAATATGACTTTATACTGGGAGTGGGAAAAAGAAAAATGGATGCCAAGACGGAGAATCAAAGGAGGAATCTTCTCTGGAGAGAAAAGCTTGGCGTTCCCTAAGCGAGTGGCCTCCTAGGTGAGTCCTGTGATGAAAAGGAGCCAGGCTTTTGAAAAGCAGGGCAGACAGTGCTGGGGGAGGGCTGGGATGGTGAATACAAAGGACCTGCAGCTTGGAGGACCCTGCAACTGATGGAAGGCTGGTGTGAGCAGAGGTAGGAATGAAAAGAGACCAGGAGGCTGAGGCAGGAGTCTCTGTGCTCAGAGGCTGCCGTGGATGAGAACTGATGGTGCTGTGGACTACACCGGCACAGAGAAGTAGAAACATGGACCGATGTGGAGCGAGAACCAGCAGGACTTGCTGAGGGATTAAATGGGTGAGGACAGACAGCATCAGGGAGAGGCAGGAGGTGATGATGTCCCCATTTCTGGTTGGAGCTAAAGGAGCCTGGAAGGGTAGGAGCAGGTTTCGAGCGTGAAACACAATCAGGCTGAAAGCATCTAGGTCAGACTGGGGGAGGACAAGCAGAGGGCGGGGAGCCCAGGGAGAGGCTGGCCGAGGGTTCCAGGTGAGAAAGGAGGACCAGCATGACCCAGGGTGGCGACAGCAGGGGCGCTGCAGAAACCAAAGTCCCTGCTAACCAAGGAGGAAGCACTTCCAGCTTCTCCAAATGCCCTGGATTTCCATCTGCGAGGCGGCTGAGCAGGCCAAGCGATGGGAGGAGCTCTTTTTAGAGAACACTGAAGTGAAACCACCATATGGAGGGGAGGGGAGGCGAGTGATGCAGAAAATGGGGTCGTGACAGAGACTGGGCTGAGGCTGAAGCAATGCGGCGTCTTCTGCCACCGGCTGCTGGACATGGAGAGGATGCGCTGGGCGCTATCTGTGCCAGAGAGAAAGCCATCCTGGGAGACAGACGGCCAGGCAGCTATGCCTGTGGCTCCTGGTGGACCGAGGGCCACCTAGGCTCTGCAGCAGGGTGACCTTCCTGGGAGGTTCGGGGTGAAACAGCAGAGGCTGTGGGCGCCGCAGGCTCTGAGACTTCTGCCCTTATGTCAGCACCCCTCCCCCTAGAGCTGGG